TGCCAGAGAACAAGTACCTGTTGACTTATCCAACTTGTTGAGGAATGATCTCATCTGCTCTATTTCATTCTGGTTAAGTTGAGTCACTCCTCCTCTGTTTTCTTCAATGGTGGCAACACCTATGTGTGCTTGTCCTCCCTTTCTGGTGTTGTCTCCTTTTTTTCCCCACTCCTTGTCTCGGTTTTGGGGCCCCCAATCCTTACTAGGTGGCTTTCCATGCAGCTTCCAGCATTTTTCATGAGTGGCGAGGCTTGTTACAGAAGGCACACCACACTCCTTCACCTTTCTTCTCCATATTAGCTATTCCCCCCTTTTTCTAGTCTACCATCATGGCTGATCCTGAAGCAACCATGGCTGGGGTTTCTAGCATTATTCCCCTTCTGCTTTCTTCACTTCTAACCATAGCTACTACTTCATTAATTCCTGGAATTTTTTCTTTTCCAAGGATCTGGACTCTTACTTGATCAAAATCAGAGTTAAGCCCTACCAAGAAATCATAGACTCTATCTTGCTCAATATACTCTTTGAGCATTGCTGAATCATCTGAGCACTTGGCTTTTATGACCCTGTAATGGTCTAACTCCATCCACAGGGATTTGAGTTGATTGGCATACTCTGTAACAGTCTTGTTTCCCTGTTTTGCAGCCACAGTCTTCACCTTCACATCATATATTTGAGCAGCATCTTTAGCTTTGGAGTATGTGTGCTCCATGGCATTCCAAATCTCCTTTGCAGAATTAAGAAACATGCAAGTATCAGTGATTTCTGGGATCATGGAGTTCCATAGCCATGCCATGATCATAGAGTCCTCTTCATCTGTATTTTAAAAAAAATGTTAAGTTCAAACCTACTAAATTATAATATAACATAGTCTGACCTAACTTATTTTCATCATTAATCGTAAACATAGATATAAAAGCTTGTAAAAAATAATTACAATATATATTTATCAAGGCATTAATAATATATAGCAAGGTATTAAACTATTAATATATGTGAATTGAAGGTCTGGTTCCAAGTTAATGCAAATAAAATCCAACACACATACGTGGAAGGTGAAAGACTACAAAAGTACATAAATGTGCAATATATAAATGCAAATTTGTAATGTAATAAAAAACAAAATAAAAAATCAACAAATGAAGACACAAATCAATTTTTTTTATTGGAATAACTAGAAAATTCAAATTTTGTTATTGGAATAACCTAGAAGACAACTGCTAGAAAATTCAGCAATCTAATAATGATCAATAATCAATGCCTCAATGGTAACTCTACAAAGTTATAATAAAAGAAGCAATACCATCATATTTATAATTTTTTCATGGAAAACACAAAAAAAAACTTCATGAAATATATTAATAATGTAAAAAATTTAATGTCATTCAATTCTATATTGTCATAGAATTAAAAATATTTTTTAAATAAAATTAATCTAAAAAATTATATCTAAATTGAATCACTGCATTAAAATTAATCTCAAAGATTAAAATAAGTAATATAGTTTGCACTTCACTTCTTGTTACTCATAATGCAGTTACGTCTGCACAACTCAATTTCATTGTTTATTTAAAGTTGGTTCCAGTTTGATTTATGCATACTCTATTTCTGCCATTTCACCTAATATGAGATAATTGGATTTTGGATTTAAGGTTCAATGAATAATAATCAAACTAAAATTTCTATTGGCCAATTGGAATAATAAGCAAAATAAAATCTCATTACAAAATGAATTACTAACACCATTATAATTTATAGTTTATACACCATAACTAAATTTAATGCACTAGCTACCAAATATTTTGCCTTGGTAGGGAAACCAAGAGAGCCACAGTGGACAATAACATGAACTTTAAAGAACCAAGAAAAAAATCAAGGAAAAGAGTTATTGTTTGAAGTTAAGGGTTAAAATAACCATAGAAAAGGCTTTTGCACTCAAAACAAAATTCATGGTGATTTTAAAGAAAATGTTATGACATTGAAAATGAGAGAAGAAAATGAGAGAGCACCTTATAGGTAGGGTTCAGCAACCGCAACATGAGGCTCGTTCCCCTTGATGAGGTCCATGATGAGGCGCACAATGAGTTCTCTCTGGATCTTCGTGACAACGGCCTGATCCTGAAGCTGAAGTTGTTGGTCTTCCTCCAAGAGAAACTTGCAGAGGGGGCAAGAGGCGTGGAGGTGGAGTTAGGGTATGATGTAGTTGACGTGGTAGAGGTGCTTGTAGGGTAACTACTTTGTCTCGGCATGGTCACGTGGAGGGCGATTTGGTCCTTGCTAGAATAGGGTTTTGACCATTTTGTTTTGGAATTTGGACTTTGGTGTGTCATGTGTGTGTGCCACTATGTTGTCCGTTGCAAGAAAAATGAATGGGCTAGTGGGTTGCCTAACCCACTACAGGTTTACCCCGAGTGGGTCAAGTTTTAGATATACGCACTTACCATAAAATTTTCATTTATTTTGGCTCAATCTAGCCCGTTTTCAAGGTGGACCGAATTGGCCCACAAGCCATAGCCCATTTTGATAGCTCTATATATTACTTGGAGACACCTTGTTAATTGTTGTTGACCAATACTCAAACCTTGTTGAGTTTCACAAATACGACATTGTTAGGGGTTACCATTATGCTTACCCATGCATCTTCCAAATGTTTTTTTGTTTGCAACTAATGAGGTACCAACTAAATAACATCATAGTCATGAGAACTCAAACAAAATCCATTGAATTAGTAGTATATTTCATAGCATCCAATAATTGCTTTGAAGTATCCCTAGAAGGGTCATAATTAAAAAGTAGATCTTTGCAATCCATATCTTTTAAGTATGTGACAACAAGTCAATTTTCAAAAAAAAAACAATATCTAACTTATCAACTTTCTAAATAGATTCAAATTATAAAATAAAAAATATTAAAAAAACTCTAACTTAATGTAATCTTTTTCAAACAACTAATAAAAATTAGTATAGTGTATAAAGGATGTATAATATTTATCTAAACAATTAAAGAAGTTAGTATAGAGATAGAAAAAAATTGACGAAATCTAAAAAAGAGTTAGTGTAATTTATTATAAATTAATAACAAATTTACTTATCAAAGTATGAGAGAAAAATGATTAATATGTTTTTTAATTTAAAAAAGTGTGAATGAGAGGAAATTTTAAAAAATGTGAAATAAAATTAATTTAGAGTAATTTTGAACTTCAATTCAAAAAATAAAAAAAAAAAATAGCAGAAAAAGTAACACAATAAATCAAACTATCCTATCCTAACTTGTCACATGTTTAATAGGTTGAGTGTGCATTTGAATGCACTTTTGGAAGGTCCCATGCATGTATTCTCCTTCGAAAATGTGATTCTTCATCTTTATGTATGTTTAGATTTTTCATCTTCACATAATTCTATTAACGAAAATTAATTTTGGTCAAAGCTAGGTGAAGATTACTTTTACGTTTCGAAGAAATTGACTTTGGTAAGTGAGTGTTTGATTTTCCTCATTTACCCTCGTGAAACTTTAATGTTTACTTTGAATCTTCTCACCTAATTTATAAATGTTTTGATTCATCTCATCTAATTTGATTTCTTTCACAAATGTTCTAATTGATCTTTGTTTGAATTTAGGGTTCTATTCTACAAAAATTCCTCTCATCAATTTTTGTTTCACCTATTTAATTTCTTTTCTCCTTGCGTATGTACATGTTGCCCTTATTTTAACATGTTATAAAATTAATAATATACATATATATCGATATATAATTAAAAATAATACATTACAATACAAAAAACATCATCGATTATCTAAAATTCATTTTAGTAACTACACACTTAAAATCAATTTTGATAACCATTTTCCAAACATCATTTAATATGAAAATCAATTTTCTTATAAATATATTCAAACAAAAACCACGTTACTTTAAAATCACATTTACTTAAAATCACGTTAATCAAATCAATTTTACAAACACAAATCCAAACACGCACTCACTCATTATATTCAAGTCACTTTACCAACTTTTTGTATAGGTTTTAAAAAGTCATCACTTATACAGTGACTGCAAATTACTTCTATTAATCTCACAATTAAAATGATTCTCCCTAACAGTCATGGTCATTAAAAAATTAAAATGCACCAACTCTTATTGGTCCAAATAATAAAGAACTTGACTATTTTTATGTAATCTCCTTCGATGTGTCCATGTGATTTGACTCAATATTAGTTACAGTTCAATATAATTTCCAAATACCACCGGTTCAATATAAAAATAATGAGTAACATTCAACCAAAAATCAATACAACTATGTTGTTAGATTCAATAATATTACTAATTTCTTTTCCACAAAACTCTCATCAATATTATCTATTTCAAGAAGTAACTTTTGTAATACTCTTTTGGGTTACTTGATTTACAAAAGTCAACCCCCCAATATCGCAAATTATGCTCATTAGGATACATTTTCATTTGAGATATAATGACCACCGACTAAGAATCACAAGGTTGATGTTGGCATCGTTTGACAAAACTTAGATGCATATATTATAGGTAATTGTCATTACTCGAATTAAATTTCAAGTTTTACGTCAATAATCCACAGAAAAATTAACTTTAAAAATTGGCAAATGTTATCGAGTTAAATTTTAATTTGCTTAGAAAATATTAAACTCCTTGTATATAAGACTATTATATAAGAAATTTGTTTCTCTCTTTATAAAATATTTTTCAAATTATCTTTTGCATTAATTTTTTTGACCAAAATATTTGTAATTACTTTGTGAAAACTGTACCATCATCTCATTGGGTGGGACTATTTACACTCCAATATGCCTATTCACATGCACACTCCATTATTTAGTTTTTACAATGTTTTTCAAATTTTTCCTTGCTTAAATAGCCAAGTTATGACCATTGGATGACAAGGGCTTTATTTTCTTCTAACATTTGTAAATAAACCTTTTGAAAAAAAAAATATCTCTCCCTAATAAATCCTAACCAAACATGCCACTGACACTGAAAGAGCCCCATTTTCATACTCTTCCGAACATTAAAGCTTTAAATTGAGCCAATTATTAATATCTCCAATACAACACTTACTTGAAATGGTAGAATATTGTACATTACCTTCTAATTTCTTCTCCCCCAAGTACCAAACTGTTGTTCATCAGATACACTGACATAGGGCCAAAATTGTACCTTGTTATACAGAAAAATCTACACATTTCACCCATTCTTTTTCTAGATCACAACATAACAACTAGTAAATGTTTGTCTAAAAAACTCAACCATTATTTTAGCAGTAAAAACTGGGACCATATAGGTTAATCCCACATATATATTCTTCCTTGTGAACCTCTTTTGCTGTATGTTTAGCTTTTGCCTCCCTTTCCATTAGGGCCTTCTTCTTATGTGACAGTTTTTCTCCATACAAAACAAGTTTTCTTTTCTTTTTTGTTATTTTCACTTTAGCAATCTCTCTTTTTTCTTTTTTGTTTTTTCACTTTAGCAATCTCTATTTCATTCTTCAATCGAGACCAGCTCATCTTTTTGTGCTGCTTATGCATGTGTAACAGGAATCCACATGAAGTCCAAACTCCATCAGTCTCTAGATGGGTGGACGATACCAAGTTTGCATTGAGCAATGAACACAGAAATTTAAGGCTAATAGCTTTTTAAGATTTAGCCATAAGAATGTAATGAATGAAATGTCATGTCATCTGGTTCACCTGTGGCATGTGCCATGCGAAACAAAGAACTGATAATCCGGGTGATTCACCTGAAGCAGCCTTAACCAGTTATCTGCAGCCTGCAAGAGAGAATTTGATAGTTGACTCTCACTAACTCCATTTTGCATCCAAATAGATCCCTTTAACTTATAAGAAGCCATTGCGAAAATTCGTAAGGAAATCTTTGGTACACCATCCATGTCATTAGGATAAACCAAAATTGGAGCCTGAGTACCTCCATTTCCTGCAAAATGTAATTAAAAACAGTTCAAGAAATAATGAATATTGCTCATAAAGTGTAATCATCTTCACATTTTTGCAATAAACCATTGCTTATATATAGAAACTGAGATAAAATCAATCAGCAAGTAATCTATGACTAGAATCAATTTTCCTGTTCTTATTTGACAATTCAAATTATGTCTTTCAGAGTGCCATGCTTCTAACAAATTGTTCCTTGTTAAAAGGTGAAAGATGAGGAAATGTAGAACACCTGCAATAAATATATTCGCAACTACATAATTTGAGTACAGATGTTCCCACCAAAAGTTATGCACAACTTCATTCATATGCTAGCACCTAAGCTGAGCAGGCGTGCATGAACAATGGGATTGTAAATTTGTAAAGTGATGTGTATCTAGATTTTTCTAAACCAGGAACTAACAACGACGGATCTCTCTTTATATGTATCCTTGTCTCTAACAATGTTATCATATTTAAACACATGTTATCCATCTTAAATTCTTTTGCTCATTTCAAACACAAACAAGCACATAAAGCAGAATATGATATCCTTATTTACAAGAGTTAGTTGAGGCATCGCTTACTAAGGTCAGATAAAAGGAAATATAGAAAAATAAAAGCTTAATTCAGAGAATGTGTGCCATCGGTGTAGATGTCATAGTGGTCAATAGTGTGCAATTCATAACAGTATTAACAGAGCAAAGCCATCATCGCCAGCTTTATTGTCTAAAAGGCTAAAATCACAACATTTGGTGGAGGTTGCAGCAGAAACTGTGAAGTGTGATATACTTTTAGAAACCCAGTTTTGCCCTCAACCCTAATGTAGCAAAGGCAAATTTCAGGGATTTTGTTTGGTTTAGATTAAATGGGTCCAAAAGGTTTTGGATGGGAACCCATTCTGTCTCATACCTTCAATTCGACCAAATCCCATCAGACCAACTGCTCATCAGCACTATTCTGGCCAAGCCCCAGGTTTTACCAGCCCTGCTGAATTTCTCCTCCAAGTCATCCATTCTTCTTTAAGTCTTCACATCCTCTATTTCACAAGTTTCTGTTCTCTTTAGTAGTGGTGTAGCCTTTTTCTAATAGGTCTCAAGCTATTCATGGTTCTGCCTTTGTCCCTTTTTCTTCCTGCTTCTCGTTCCTCATAGGCTTAAATGTATGTTTAATTCCTTCACTTGACTCCTTGTACGCATAATGTGTTTGTTTAGCACTAAACCTATATATATGACTTTTGATTACTACTTACGAGTTTGTCTTTAATTTTGAATTATTTTTTTTAGCATTTATATTTGTGTAGCACAATTATTTAATCTAAATAAAAAATTTCAATATATGACCATCCCTCTATGTGCTATGCCACGATAACATTTTTTAGATTGGCTGCCAAGCGCCACCATCTGGGATTGATATACTATGGTAGATGGACCATCTTTCATATTTGACTATAAAAAAAAAAAGAATATTCTTTTATGGTAAACTTTATGTTCTTGAGATGTGGTAAATGGGAAAAGAGGAAAAAAGTTTAAAATGAATTAGTAACTCTAATAATAATGAGCCCAAATGAGTGCTGAATCTTGACACTAAAAGTGTGTGTACATCCAACAATAATAACCTATTAAATTGCCGAATCCTGATAAACAAGAACTACAATGCCACTGCAGATCAAACATAGGGTTAAAAGATCCATGATTATTACCTGTCAAGGGTGTATGGAGTGCATGGTATGTAAGAAAGCAAGCATCTAAATCTTTTAATGTTGGACCAGTGGGTATTCGATATATAGGATACCTGAAAGATGCCATTAAAAATGTTAGTTGGCAAAAAATACAACACTAAAGCAATAGATCAAGTTATTCTCACCATGCTACAGACATCCAACTTGCTGGCAATAAATCACAACTTCTCAGTGACTTGAGGCTAGGATAGTGGCGTGTAAGATCAAGTATCTGTCCAAACATGATAAATATGGACGGTTCAAATTAACTGCAAATAAGCCAAACAAGCATTAATTGAGACCAGTACTAACCTTGTCGGTCAATGGTTCACGGCTATAAGGAGGAGTGTGATCGAAATACTCAAAAAGAAGATCTTGAGGATTCCCAGTTTCACTATCATCGCTCGAAAATCCCTCTTGCATTGTACTGTGTTTATCATATACAGACAACCTGTTCATTTGAAACAAAGCATCACCTATCTGATATTGACTATTTTTTTGTGTTGTAGAAAGTTCAGTCCTTTTTCCAAATTCACTATCACTACTTCCGTCACTGCTTGAATCTATGTAGTAATCACTATCGTTATCTTCGCCACTGTACCTAATGACAAAACAAAATGAGATATGGTTACAAACTAAAGCACAAGAGCACATTCTTCAGCAAAATTAAAATTCATAATGGCATAGAAGCAGCAATGGATTAACATACAACGAAAATTGTAACAGTAAGTTCACTTATACAAAACCATATTGACACTATACAGGAATCAGTGGCCAGAACAGGGGAAGAATAAAGAAAGAATACAATGTTTAAAAGGTTTTCAATAACTGAGATTAAAAATAGTCATGGTTTACAAAAAAGCCAAACCAATTGGTAGTATCAAAAGACCAATTCAACATAGCACAAGAGAGATCCATGAAGCACCACACGGAAAAAAAATATATATATGTTCAAATATAAGAAGAGAAATTTCAATATTCCCTCAAATGCTGCCTGCCTTCAAGAACCTCACACTCAACAGCTATTTAATTTAAATTTACAGCTTAAAGAATGTTGTTTTACAAACAACAAAAAGGGAATGAAAAATGAAGCAAACAAAATCCAAGGAAGATTGTTAGAGGCTCAGGGCTGCACCAACAGTGAGACCTAAAGCAAATTTTAAGATTTTTTTTTTTCTTTAAATGAAAGAGATATATATTAGGTCTTTTTTCCAACATGAAAATTTTGTCAACATGTGTAACCTTTAATTTTATAAAAACTAATAGAAAATAATTTTTTGTTGGTAGGCCTAACTCCTAAAGCTTAAGCTTTAATTGCCTTACTACTCTTGGGCCGGAATTTTTGTATAAAGAGATATAGTGGTAACTGCAAAAGGATTTGTGATCTCTTACAATGCAAGGATAACCAATTTTCCATGGTAAAGAAAAATCAGAATTAAATCCATCTTACTCACTATAATAACCAGTTCCTATCCTACTTCCCGATTTTGGACGTAGACTATTTTCAAGTCTTTCACTTTTGATATCCACAACACACATTTTACAAAAACTAAAAACCACAAATGCATTTAACTTTTGTTGATTTCACCTTTCAACCAGAGCCACCAACATAATCCAGCACATAATAAAATGAATTTAACTATAACACAGAACAAACATATTACAGAAAGACGACAACCACGTTTCAAGGGGTCAACTGGCATGTTTGGGAAACGCAAACCGACGTGTTTGGGAAAGCGTTTGCATCATGGCAAACATGAATTCCCACTTTCTGAGACACAAATATAGGAAACAAGAATGTGTAGCTTTTGATTAAACGTGGGTTTGGAAGGCATCTAAAGCCAATCCAAACATGCACAACGTAGTCTCAACTTAAAGTTGCGAATTCATAAACACGTATAAAAGCATGGCTCTACATATGAAATGCCAATACCTTGGCTTAGCATTAGCCTTCTTATCTGATTGACCATATAGCTGAATAGCCGACAAATAAGGAACATAGTATTGGACAACAGATTGTCTTTGATCAAGTACCAAAGGGACTCCTGCTCCATATGCACTCCACTCCTTAAACGATTCCCAGAGATCATCAAGAGCAAAGTACGATTGATACTCCACATCACAAGTCTTCCAATTCCAACCTCTCATTGTTTTCTGCAACCACAACATAATAAAAGCAAGTCCCAAGTAAGTAAGCTGGATGAAAAAAGGATGAAATTCATCAATCTTGTGGCTAACGTAGTAAACTACTCCTGCAAGAACTAACATTCCATCAACAGTTACATACCGAAAAACAGACCAACAAAAGTAAGTACATACTGGGATTCATGTTAGATCATCCAAAATCATTTTTAAATAACAGCTACCGTGATTTTGGGTAACATGTTATTCCTAGTCTAAAATTGATTTTGAGTGCTTTTTGCGTTGGATAAAATTTATTATACTGAACTTTACTACTAACTTGATTTTAGGAAAAAAAAATTCAAACATAAACCACTTCACTTCGAAATCAATTTTAACCAAAATCAATATTGTAATTCATTCAAAAAAGACATACATTTAATGGAGAATATTGTATCCTACAAGTCCAACAAAGTAAAAACCATTACTCAATAATAGATAGCTCAATTGCATAAAGGACAAGATGAGATCAACCTTGGCCAAATATTGAGCTGGGACTAAAGGAGTTGTTGACTCCAGAAACCTATCAATGTTATTAACAGCCTCTAAAGAAGGGCAAGAAGATGGTTTGTTCAACGAGTGTGAAGATTCATTGGGATTCCCATTCTCAGAAGCAACAAGTTCCTTCTTTGAAACTGAATCAGCACTTTCAGTTTCACCACCCTTCTCTCTCTGAACCGGTTTCCGCTGATTCTGGTTCTTCCTCGCCTTCACCGGAATGTAAAACCGATCCTCACCACGAACAACACCAAATTGCAAGGCAGCCCCCAACATTTTCCAACACTCTCAACAAAGTAACTTCCCCGAGAAAATAAAGGAAAATATTGTATAATTATTAACAACACAAAAAAAAAAAAAAAAAGACAAGACCCAGATTAAAAAATCTTGACTTTTTTAGTTTTTCCAAGGAGCAACGATGAAAACAAAGAGAAATCAGAAGTGGGTCATGTAGTCTAAGGTTCTTTTCTTTCTAGACTCTACACTGAAAAGAAGAAGAAAAAATGTTCTGAGTAGACAGATGATGAAGGGAACAGTGAGTTTTACACCAATTTGGAATTGAAAGATAATAAGAGTGGGGTGATGATGAGATTCTAAAGAAGAAAGAAAGCAAGAAGAGAGTTGGCGTGAAGAAAAGGGGGATGAAAAGAGAATGTGTGAAAGAGAAGAGAGGGAATCAATTGGGTGAGAGAAAGTGGAATGAGGAATGAATTTGAAGGAATATATGCGTTAAGTAATGAACAGAGAGAAAGAAAGGAAAGAAAAGTTTCTTCTTCAGCCAGCCACAGTGGAACAGAACAACGGAGAAGAATGGGTGCATACAAAGTTTGGTGACGAGTTAGGGGAGAATATCATATTTTTTTATTTTTTACCTTTTTTATGCCTTTGGTGGGGTTAGGAGCATGATTATCTTGCCAAAATTTTATTAATATAAACACTTTGGATAAGTTTATGAATTAGTTGAGAGATTGGTACATATCCTAGGATGCAACTATTACCATTTTATTTCTCTAGTAATATTTTTTCTATTTTTTTTTTCATTTCAATTTAATGACTATGTATTGAGAGGTAAAATACGGTTAACTAAATAGAGTTTTTAGCTGGTTAAGTGCTTGTATTTCTTAATTAAAAACTTGAAATATAGAATTGTAATTGAAAGTATAATTTTATTTTTATATTATAAATAATTTTATTCTTAAAATGGATTGACTTTGTGAGAAGGAATATACTAAAAGTAAATATTGTTAATTAATAAAAAAATAATTGTTACTTTGATTGATTTAGTTATTTATGTAAAAATAAACTAATTTGTCATTTTTATCATTTGTAATTATATTATTAATGGATAACTTATTTTTTTTTCTATCTTTTATAAGTAATAATAATTGCTTTTAATTTTTTAAATAACTTTTATGAATTTATTTCTTTAGTGTGGTCCTTTTTTTTTTACTATTAAGTATTTGAACTTAAGATATTATTCATTTTTAATTATTTGTTAATATAACTCAAAATTTTATGTCTAACCTCATTTTAAGTAAAGAGTCTCAATCTAACTCAAACTTGACATTATCATATTAGTACTCAACGTCGTCTAGATAGAGGGTTTTGGCTTAGTCACACTAGGCACCACTCCACTAGTGTTTGACGTCACAAAGTCAGAAACCTTTTAATGCTTTCGTGCCCAATGTCATTAAACAATGTTCGATGTTATCCCAATTCAAGACTTTTAGTGCTTTCGTGCCCAATGTCATTCAAACAATGTTTGATATTATCCCAATTCAAGACGAGTCTTTTTTCCTCACGTCCGGTGCCGCCACCAATCTTGCACTCAACATGAATTGAGACATAGGCCTTTAGTTGGAATTGCACTCGATGCTATGAAGACACGCTTGGGCGACGCAAGTTTTGCACTTATGTAGATCATGATTTTTGTTCAATTCACTTGAAACTTAGCCAAAATCACATATGCGACACAAAATATTATTGCTGGAAGAAGAAGAAAAAAAAGAATCGCAACACAACTCTGAGCAGATCAACAACTTGATTAAAAAAAAATGTTCCTACTAACCTAAATCCACAAACAAAACAACTTAGGTAAGACTTTGGGAAAAAAATCATCTCACCAGAGAAGGTTCAGAAAAGAAGGAGATGCACAGACCAGAGCACTTCTCTCTCTAAATTTATTAAGAGCAAAACTTATGCAGCTCAATTCTAAATATAAATCTTATATGTCTTCTTCTTCAGGATCAAACTATATCTCTATCCAGAGAAACCCCAAAACTATTTAAACTCATAAAAAATTTTAGACACAAAAGTTCATCAACACAAAACAATAATCTACACAACATCATATAATTTATTGAACTTAACTACAACTTTTCAAAATTCATGTTACAAGAATTAAATTTATAAAATAAAATTAATTATTAAATATATAAATAGTAAAAAGTTTTAGATATAACATTTTTTAATAACAACCTTTTTGTTTAAAAGTTTACACGTAAGAAATTTGTATCGCTTTTTATTGTTAGGGCAAAGTTTTTAATTAATAAATTAAATAAATATTTTAATTTAAGATATAATTTTTTTTATAATCATTGATATAAAATATTTAACTGTTTTTACTAAGTTTTGAAATTTTACTTAAAGAGATACCAATTAAATTGATCTCTAAAACTTTATTTAGAGAGACAAAATTTAGTATCACTCAAATTAATTACTTATTTATTGATATTTAGAATATAACGTTTAAAATAATATATAGAGAGTTTGATTATTATTTAAATAAAAGTTAAACTACCAAATAGTTTCTCACGGTTTGCCCTTGTCTTTAAAACAAGTAATAGTTATAGATGTTAAAAATAAATATACATTCTCAAACTCGATGAATAACGATCTAACGTGATTAGCATTGGTGAATTTAAATAGTATATATACAAAGTCATAAATTTAATCTGTAGTGCTACTATCGTATAAAAACATAAAGGTTGAGTCATGAGTGCAATGATAAATAAATGGCATTTTTAGAAAAAATTATTGGTTTCGAAATTAAATTTAAGAAATTACGGATCAACAAAATTTAGATTTTGATCACTTCATAATAAAGAAAGAAATCGAAGTCTTACGTTTTATAACATTTTTTTTATTAATTAGAGTTTTCTTTATTAAAAATAATTTTTTTATTTTTAATAAAAAAATTCTTAAAAATATTTGTAACTTATTTAAATAACTTTTATATCCGAAATACAATTGAATATTAAATATAAAAAATATTCATATTAAAATTAAATTATGATTCACTATTTTATGAAAATTGATTTCTTTTATTAAACTCAATTTCTATTAATTCCAAATATCTTTGAGAATACCTTGATCAGATCATATAACTTAGGGTGTAAAATGTGTTATTTTTTTTTCCTACAAATCTATAACATTCAATTTATTTTATTTTATTTTTATTTTTATGCCTAATTAGGCTTTTATCAAATCCATAATTATGAGGAAAATGCACGATCAAGATGTCCATATCTCTAATGTAATTGTAGTTGTATCTCACTATTTGAGGTGCCTCCAACATAATAAGGAGATTAGTCATTCCTATCAGCGACGGTAGATAGAAAAAAAAAATTGTAATTACAGTTGAAATATATATATATTTTAAATTCCATTAAAGTTGGATAATAAATTCAGAAGATCAACTACTTAACAAGTTGTTTGATTAGCCAAAAATAATGTTTACATTCAAAATTCAACATTTTATATATATATCTCAAAAGATATTAATGAGATATTAAAAGAATGTAGACATTTTGTAATAATAATTAATGAAGGGATGGGCCAAATGGAAGTTGGTTTGGTTAGGAAAAGTTGACACGTGCAGAGGAAGGAGTAGGTGGGACACGTGCAGCGTGCCTGCCACTCACTTGTGCTTTTACAACAAACGTGCCAATTACTTGACAATGCCACATGTTACAACACACATTATTTATTTGCACAATCTTGTTTTTTTCCATCTAAATTTTTATGAGTTTAATAAATATATATTTTTAGACTTTCAGAATATATATATTACTTTGTTCATTAATAAGAAATATACTTTGTATGATTTATTTTAGGAAAGTTGATAAATTATTATATATAATATTTTGTAATTAAATAATAGTATAAAAAATTGTACAGTCAGGATATGTATTATTAATTTTTTTTTTCTCTTTTATATTCAAAGATAAGGTGAAGGGGAATTGTGTAATTAAAATTGAAGAATTAGATATTTATTGAATGGACATTCTCGAAGTTTTGGATGTGAGCCTATGACTTATAATAAGTCTACTTTCCTACTTACACTTGTGATACGCCTATTCATTAGGATTGTTCATGATATTTTATGAGTTTTAGGATCTTTATATATTTTTTTAATAGTCACGTCGTGGATATAAAGTAATTACAAATTCTATTGATTAATTTTGTTAAAAAATTTAATTAATTTTTTTTATATTTTATTTAAAGAAATCAAATTTAATACTATTAAAAATTAATAACTTAAAAATATAAATTATTATATAATTTTTCTAAAAATAAATATATAATTTAATAAAATTTAACATGTTTTATTATATTAAACAAATAATATAATATTAATAAATTTATAAAAATTTATTATATCTTTCATTTATTTTTTTTATATTATTATTTATTATAAAATATTATATAAATAAATTTTTGATATCCAAAAATGGTGCATTTTTAAATTTTAAAAATAGGATCAATTTTTTAATAGTTAAAATCAAATTTGAAGCTTTCTATAGATACCAAAAATATATTTTACTTTTATATGATAATTAATAATGTAATTATACAAAATAACTATTACTTAAAGTTATTATACAAGCAGTTTTAGGATATACTAACAATAATATATATACATAAAAATTTGCATCAATAGCTGAAATAATAAATAAGTATATATGTATATATAGTAATAAAAAAAACAATTAAAATGTAATCAAAGTTGTTAGTCAAGCAACATTACACAAAACTATATAGAAGTAACTACATAGAACAATCACCATAAATAATCATAATCCAACCACCATATAAGCATGATCATTGTAATCCAAACACCAAGAATGTAAGGGTGAGCTAGATTTCAAAAGGAAGCAACATAAAACAAATATAGAAGTATAACAAATATACAACTAACGACCACATGTAAATCCAACAAGACACCTCATGGTTTACAATTTATTAACATCACCCAACACCTTACAAACATCTATATATGTTATATCCAATCAACATACATAGAACAATCATCATACATCATACAACATGCAATAGAACTCAAAACATTTATTCGTTAACCATACAATGTTATAAAATCACATTAATCATCCAAGCATCTCGCACTCGACGCAACATACCTTATGCTCAACGCTATCGAGGCAAAAAAACTCTCTACCTCACTCATGTCTGACGCTATCCAAATCGCACCCAACATGACCAAGGTGGAGATCCCTTAGGACCTTGTTGAGATTTCCGTTGAAACACTTTTGTTAATATTTGTCGCCCAGCGCATTAAGAGCGCGCCCGGCGAAATTCTCACCTGAGACCATGCGAAGAACTGCGCCCGGCGCAAATTCAAACAGCAACTCTCCCCAGTTCGAAAATTCCACCCAAAAACCTGCAAAATCAACTTCCCAGGCACATGCAATCGGTCCAAAGCATCACATTTCCATCCAATAACCCAAAAATACTACCTTTTTCAACATGCAACAACAAATCACG